CGACACTATGCTACGGCTGCAGTATGGTGATGGGGTTCAAGAGGTGGAGGATGTAACCAGAACCAACAAACTAATTTTACAAATGCTTCATAACTTCAGCATGTATTATAACATCAGAGCACCATTCAAATCTCCATAGAGAGCACTGCTATATACAAACTATATTATTTCCTGATGGGAAACTCCTGTCAGCAAGCAATCACAACATCAAAGCTACACTGGCAAAGTGTAGCTGACAAAGTTTCTGCCTCAGTCAAAACATCTGTCAAGAATTCTGGACAATGACTGTTAAGGGTATTTTGAGAACAGTGTTAAAGAATAGGAGTTATTGTCCAGTTAGCAGCGTATTAATTTTATTCCTCTACTGCTAATCTGATGATTTCACTGTTTGCAGCTTCCCTTAATATTGCCAGGAAAATCTCCGTGGGAAGGTTTTGCATTTTGAGGCTATACAGAATAATTTTGAAAGATGTAAGTGATGCCTTTGACAGTTACGGTTTTGTTTTCTTACCCACTTTGTTAATGTTACAGATATTAACCCATTTCACAGTCACATCCTCACTGGAGGAAATGTTTTCAGTTACCACAAAAACATGTCTATGTATGCTGCTAAAGGGATAAGCACAACAGGACATTTAAAAAAATGTTTTGGAAAGATCCTGAAAAGCAAAGTGATTGTTTTCACTGTCCTCCAGTTACCTTGGTGCTAAGGAGCTGCAAAGTCACTCTAGATTTAACAACTGTTCTTATATTTTTATGTGGCCATTATTTAAAATGTGACTTGATCCGATATTTGAATTTCAAAGTTTTGATTACTTTTTATGAGCACTTTTTATTAAATTTTCTCAGTATATCTGGCATAACAATTTCTCCCAATATTGTAATTTTTTTGCTACTCGGTCAATATTTATCACATAATAGTATCTGTTGCTGTTTGAACTTTCTGAGTGCTGTCCTGTGTGGATAACTCCTGTGACTTACTACCAACCAAAGTCTGGGTTCAATAAATCTTATTGTGGTGAGATCTACTACAAACTAATCATTTAATTTGAGCATCAATAAAAATCATTTTATCAGCTACTATATTGAAAACTGATTAGTGGATTGTTTAAATATACAGTATGTTTTTAGTGTTTGACCGTTATTGTAACTGTATTGATACATCATTAAATTGTCCAAATCAATAACTCTTACTTGCTACATGATTTATAGTTGTATTTATTGTATACGTTTGTTTGCATTAGGCTATTAAAATGTTATTAATTTAAAGTAGTTGAAAAATGAAGCATTGTTGATTTTGACACTTGCTGTTTGTGACTTTTTAAAATGTATTTTAGAACTACAGAAATAAAGGTTTTGAAGAAAAAAAGAAGCTTTTGTTTGGATGCATTGTTGTCTACCACAGTTTTTTTTTTTTTTTAAACTCAGCAAGTGTACAGGGGTATACTGATTTATAACAGTGTCCCAGGCAGCATCATTTCACAAAATCCTAAACCAGAACAGATACCATTACTCCTAAATATAATAGGAACATTTTCTTACCTCCAGCCCTGTCTGCTCACCAAGGGAAGGATTACTGAAGTGACACTGAAAGATACACAGACAAGGCCAGAAATATCCATAAATCCTTTGGAAGTTCACAACAAATCATCCCAGCCCCTGGTATCTTGTTGCTAAAAGCTTGCTGCTTTTTCAACAGATTGGCTTTGACTAGTAATGTGTAAAAATGACTCTTCCTGTGTCAGCTGGGCTTTGAGAAAACACAGGCAGTTTCAGTGGCAGAACTCTGTCCATGGTGCTGGAACAGGACAGACCCTAGTGAACCACTTCACTGTTGGCACTACACACAGATGAACATCACTGGTGTCCAGCAAAACTTTGTGTGTAACCTTGAGTGGTCAACTGACTCGTTGTTTTAAGAAAATCTACTGTAGTTGTTTCAATAAACAAGTTAAATCACCTGTAGGCAAATACTTGGACTTGTAACTTTGCTTCTAATTTGCAGATCTGGCCAAACTAACTACAGGAAAAGAAAAACTGAATGAATCAAATGAACATCGAATCATTGCACTGAGTGAAGAACTGTAACAATGGTGAGCATGATTGTCCTCTTAATAACATGTTTCATCTGTTCTTTAATAAAAATAATGGAGTCCCTAGTTATATTGTACACAGGCCTTTGAACTAAGCCATTGTATCCACTTCAGCCATCTCCAGCTCAGGAAAACAGGAATCAACAGTTGGTAGCAACGAGAAAAAAAAGTGCTTTTCATATATGTATGAATTTGAGTTGTTGGCTGTGGTTACATGTTGCTCTATGCTGATGCTGGTTTCAAGGAGTCCTATCCTTAGACAAAAACAGATTCAACCGTTTATATGTATAGGTTCTGTCATGGTCGAACTGGAGTTTTAGACATGAACTACATGTACAGTATGTTTCTATTTGTCAGTCAAAAGCAGTTTGGTCCTGCCCTGTACGCCCCAACACAGTACAGGCTGCAGCTGCACACTTACCAGCTCCATCAAAATGCAGTTACGCAAAGCCTCGGATATGTCCTGCCAGTACTCTGCCATCAATGACATAAAGTCTGTGAAAGCTGAGAACAGGAATATGAGGGAGAAACTTAACCTGCGGCAAAATGAGTAGAGACAGGTGGAGAGCCAGCTCCAAGAGTAGCGCCAACAAAAAGATGAGGTCCTGAAAGGGATCATCAGGCTCGCCCAAAATCCCACATAGACTGCTTGTCCCTGCTTGCTCAAAAGAGAGCAAGCTAGACTGACTTTCAAGTCTGTTTTTGATTCATAAAAGAGCTCCGGGTCAGCATGGTTTACTCTCACAATAAGAGAAAGGGTCAAACATTAAGTACCATTTGGATGACCTGATTAACAGTTCCTAATGGCAACACCCTTGAATCAACTGTTTTCAGTATTCAGTATGGCCATCAAAAAAACAATACACCACGTAATGATACACTCCTGTCCACATACTTTTGTCCATTTTTGGTTTGGGGCTTTATTTATTCATTTATAGTTTGGGTTACTGTATAATGTTGCTCTATGTCTGCTGGACGTGTAAATAGGCAACTGTTCATTTACAAGTTTGTCATATAAACTTAATTGTTTCCAGCTTGTTTCTGCCACGCATCAAGTGGCCAAAAATGCATTTATAGCACACAATCATGAAGGCTGGTAAGTGCAGTGAAGACATTTTCATGAAGAAAATAGGCTTACAGGCTGACGTGGTGACAACATGGCAAGCCAGAATCCAGAAAAATACACACAGGAAGAACCACAGGACGAATAACCAGGAGCACGCGGCAACAACATGAAACAGAACGGACGAACTGACAGGAACACAGAGATTAAATGCACACAAAACGAGCAGCAGGTAACGAGACACAGGTGCAACTAATTGGGGCGGGGCAGGTAATCACAAAAGGCGGGAAACACACTGAGGCAGGAAGTGAAAATAACAACAGAAACCTAAAAAAAATTGTTTCAAAATAAAACAGGAAATAATATAGAGTACGGAAAGTCACTCAGGGGCAGATCATGACATGAAGCTTCTCTGGCATTCTGGTAACCCCTGTCCTAACATTATTTATGCATCATTACAACTTCCTTTTGTGACAATTAAAATGTTGTATTTATGCAATCCTCCTCAATAGCAATGCATTATAACGATTGTGTATTGTTTTGAGAAATCTGAGAATTCCACGAATATTTGTAATAAATAACACAAATTAAACTTCTGTCAGACTTGACTATAAGCACATTGTGTCTTGCCTATTGCCTGTATGCAGCTATTTATGCAGCAACACATGGAAATCGAAAAGGGGTGGAGACTAGATTTTTCTCTGCTCTTTCTGTGCATATATGCATATGCTACTTAACACAGAGACCCTGAACTTAATAGTTAAGTGTGTACTGTAGTATAGTTTAGTGCACAATAGTACACAATATAAATATTTTCTGTTGAGAAGTCCGTAAGGCTAATATGGCTATCTTTGACAGAAATGTTAGTGCTTGCAGCAATTCATAAACATTTCAATCTATAAATTCCCCTAGGAACTATGATATTTATAGCAACCACACCATAATAGATTCATTATTTGCTCCTGTGGATGAAATTAAAGTAACATTTCCATTTAACTCCCTGCAGTGATTTTATGTTATTTTTATTTCAGCCACTAGATGTCCCCCGTTATCTACAACCACTCAACGTTGTTGCATGAGTTTTTATTTATCCTATGTTTATACATAAACACCAAGAGGTTAGCATAAACAAAAAATGCTGGTGGTGCTGTACAATATTGTGCTTGTATCATGCACCCTCAACACTTACTAAATCAGTCAAACTCACAGGGGTATGAGTTTTAGAAGAGATTTTTTTATGACTGTCCTATATATTCTGCTGTTTAATGTCTGTCTTCGTACAGTAAAATGCTACAGAATGAAAAGCATCAAACAACTCGTGAATGGGCATTATTTCCCACCGCTCACCTTTGCAGCTCCCATCAATTATGATTCATAAGAGCATACTTACAGCGGAAGTATCGCGGGCCTTCCATCACAATAAAAGGTAACATATTCTGTCCCAAAGTTTTACTTTTAAGTTTTACCCCGAGCTGTGAGTGGAACCTCTAATATTTGATTCATGCGTTTAACTGAAGGAAACACTGTATATTGTGGTATCAGACTAATTTTTAGTTTAATTGTAGTAGTAATAGTAGTGGTATATAGGAATAACCCTTTCAAAGTGTCTTGCTTTGATTAACACTTGTCTTACTAACTTTAACCAAATGGTAATTTTGAAATTACACAAAAGTATAATTAACATTATATTAGAAGGACGGATATATTTAGGGTAACGTTAAAACCTTCATTAATCCAGCATTTTATTTTGGTGGAAAATAAGCAACCGGAAAAGCCTTTTTCCCGTATTCAGTTAGACTTGACGCTTGTTTCTCGTATCGTTTCTCTCAGTGTTGAGACGGCAGTGTTGGTATATCTCTGTCTGACTGTCGGTATTTACCTGTCAAGACAGCGAATAACGTTTTTAGCTGAACACCGTGGATTATTTCTAGTTTCGACTAGCAAACTGCAAAACATTATCTTGACGGTACAGCCATGGGTTTGACCGAGTCGGCGTGGAGGGGAGAGGGGGGTTTAAATTTCTCTTTTCGTCCCAACAGCGTCTTTTGATTGGAAGTAAACGGTTCAGCAGAGCAGAACTGAGCTGCGTTTCTGTACAAGTTTGACAGAGTTAAAAGTTGTTGTTCATCAGTGTCAGAACAGCAGAAACCATTTCACACAGGTTAGTTCGTTTTTGTTATTTTCAATTGGAGTTTTTGGTTTTCCTGGAGAGCGGAGGTGGCGAACTGAAAGCGGCTCACCGAGTCGGGACTGACCAGTGGAGTTGGTCCTGAAAATGGAGGCTGTGATCGAGAAGGAATGCAGCGCGCTCGGAGGACTTTTCCAAACTGTTATCGGAGACATGAAAGTAAGAAATTTTAACTTTGCAACACGAGTCGTGTTATCTACGAGCAGTTGAGCAAAATCTGACTCCAGCGGCTAGTTAACTTTCCAAACATCCGTCTTTGGTTGTGAATTTGGATTTACTACAACAGATAACTAAACAAGAAATTCATGTTATTAACCAACGATAATTTGGTGAGCTAACTGTCAGACTTCTGAACAACTATGAGCCACACCAACCTTTTTTATTGTATATGTAGAAGTCGATAAAAACGGAGTAGAGTTGAGTGAATTTGGGATATTGTTTAAAATGTTTGTTAATGATCGCTAGTATAGTGATTCTGGTCTTACCATATATTCACCTGCATTGGTTCTCGTTTTGTGGTAGTTAAATTATTACATTTGACTGCAGTCTGCTCCATTCTTCTCCATTCTCTTGTTGGGGAAAAAGACGTTAACTTGTTCCAGTTTGAAGTGGATGCAGCAGTCGACATTGGTTTAAAGGCTAAATAGGGCAACATCAGTCACAAAACTAGGGCATCTTATTTTGATGTTATTTTGGCAGAGCTTGGCTGATGAGACAATTAGCAGATTTCCCAGCTGTTGTACTTGACTGGAGGAATGCAGGGAATGTAGCTGTCAGGGTAGAAAATTGTCCACAGGGTCTGAAGGCTTTGACATGTGTAGGTCAAATGGCCAGCCATAGGGTCTCCTAGAGTCACCAAGTTTGTTATGAATACTGCTCAGACATTCAGCACTTCTCAACATCCTATGTCTCACTTGACTAAGCAGTCCCCCTGTTTCTTAAGTGTCAGGAGACTTTGCAGACAACACCAGTGAAAATATGCAAATAGCTAGTGCTTTGCTTTGTCTTTACATAAGCTATTCAAATTTTAAGTGTTCCCTTTCTTTTACAGAACTACTGGATGGGGTTGTAGACTCAAGGAACAAAGTGACATCTCACTGACTTTCTATGTAAACCTAATCTGTCAACAAGAGTGGAGAATGCAGGGAAAGCTCATTTGCCATGGTTCTGGAGTGTGTTTGATATCTGCACTAGAGCAGCTGATAGTGATGACCTCTTTAGAGAGAGAAAGCTATACTAGAGAGGCCAGAGATTTAAAAAAAAAAAAAAAAAAAAAAGTGATGTAAGGGAGACTCTGAGACACAAAGAATGGGAGCAAGAGAAGGGGTTACTGTAGGTAGAGAAATGGTTGTTGGGTGTAATGTTTGACAGCATAACATGACATTCCTCAGCCCCCTGAGAGTAGTAGCACATCAGTGACAAACATGTGCTCATGCTATATTCATCACTTTGTCATGTGCTGTGTTACTACTGTGCTGTGTTAGCCTCCTCTTGTCGATGCATTAGGCCACTTGTTCTCTGTGATAGTTTTGATAAAAGGCTCTTCAACTATTTTCAGCCCGGGACCTGAATTGGGTAAATTTAGAGCCCCATTGGGAACCAGGCTCATTATACCATAGTATTAGTGCCCTTGTTGTGTGGGGATCTTTCCAAAAGAGGCCTGTGACCCATTTTGCAGCCTAACACATGCAGGACATGATGGTAATGTCTGTTGTCCCATTAATAGATAACATGATAATAAAAAGTTAAACAAAGTAGGAGCAAACTGAAAGCAAGCTGTTTGGAAATATTTGAAAGTAAGTTGTCATTAGATCTTAAGTCTGTATATAGATCACACCTCATGCTTTTCCATCACATACAAAACTGTAAAACTAATTCTTACATCCTAAATTCTGAGATTCCCTCAGGTCTTCTGGCAGCAATATGGAAAAACATATTTTGGACGGTGACTTAATTGGGTTACATATATGGGAAAGCATAAGGCTTGGTTAGTTCTGTTAAGCCCTGCAGATAGGGTGAGGCATCAGTATGGCATCATGTTGATTGAACTGTTATGTAACTGTGGGAATATTGAAATGTGTTCTGATGATTGTGTCATTCATGTTTGTGTCCCTTTTTTTTTTACCACAGAGCAGCTACCCTATTTGGGAGGACTTCATCACCAAGGCCGGCAAACTGCAGTCACAGCTCAGGTGAGAGCATGTCTGTATGCACGTACAACACATTTATATGTTTCTGTGTGTTTTTATTAATAACATAAACTATAACAAACTATTACAATAGATAAATTAAAAAGTTAAAAAGAGGGGAAATCAACATTTTCAGTTAGTCATTAAGTTGCTCCAGTAATTTCAATATTACGCAGGCTAATGGTGTTAATGATTTAATTTATTCATTTAAACTGATGTAGACATTAAGTACATTCCCATTCACCTGTTTTAAGCATATTCATATTGCACATTAAAAAAAAAATGTGGAAATACCAGAAATATCCCCCAAAAAAGGGTTTAGACTTGGCAGAGGTGATAAAAGAAAAATGCGTCAGAGTATAAATCATGATGTACATGAGGAATGTGACTTCCTCTAAAGCTTCCGCTCCACTGGATTGACAAGAAATTGCTGCCAACAAAACCATCAGATCTGTGTGGTCTGATGAGTAATCTTCCACAAATGAATATATAAAACAGAAATGCCAAATTTCCATCATGTTTTCCAGATTATTGTTGTTTGTTTGAGGTTTGACTAGCACTCTTTTAATTATGTCATCTCACAGCACCCTCTTCTTCTGTAACTAGCCCCTTTTTATATAGGAATCCCACTATATCGCTACTAAGAAGACCCCTCGTTATGCCACCTTTGTTGTTTACACTGAACTAGATAAGCTGGCATTATGCTACCCCAGTGTGTGATTTGTATATAGCACGCCAGCGTTCTGGAATCAGAGGCGTGACGTGTAACACAGCAGTACTGGTAGGGAAATACCACTGTGATTGTTGCATAACCGATACTCTACGTTATTTCATTCTATCAACGTATTTGTATTTTATCTGGCTTTTACATTAGATGTCAGTGTCAGTACTCTTCCCAAGAAGTTTAAAATGGCCATGTGTCCTGAGACTAACAAGCACTGACAGTTTACATAAAAGCCCAATGTCTTAACTATACTGTCCAGAGGTCAATATGTGTTCTTCTCCCCCATTTAGTCTTCTTTAAGCCTGATTTAATTTGTCTTTCTAATGCTGTATATTTGGACACCTCATGCCAAAATTATTCCAAGTCTTATGCTGACAATGGATGCCAGTCCCAGCCACCTCTCCTAGTTGGCTTTAAGTGGCCACGTGTCAAGAGACAAACAACCTATGACAGCTGAAATAAAAGCTCATTGTCCAGGAACTACTGTAAATACGGATGTCCCGTGGTCTAAATTATTCTTTGATTAACAATGCATGGCAGTTCTCTAGCCATTTAAGTGTCCACGTGTCCACAGACAGACGAGGATTGACAGTTGTATAAAGGCTCAGGGATTTAACAATACGTTCCAGGGGCCACTCAGTGTCCCATTCTTCCATTTTCGCAGTATTAAGACTGATTAATGGTGATATGTTATTCAAGTGTCTCCATCATTGAGGGGTTAAATATGTGACCCTGCCATGCTAAAGCTCAGGGGAGTATTTGTGGCCTTGTTGCTAATGACTGGCTGTTTAGCAGTAGGATGTCTGTGTGTCTGGACAGGGGGGCAATGACAAAAGAACAAATCTGCAGTTATTGTGCTGGTGAGAAGGTGAGTTGAACCTACACTACTCACTGTCAGTGAGATATCTTTACCCTATCATAGTAGGTCAGTAGTTGCTTGATGATGAAGATGTGTGTGAAAACTTTGTCTTCAGTCCAATATATCAATATGCTATAATGTATAATCATTGTCCCATACTTTGACCTCTTCATTTTGCAGCTTTACACCGCTTTCTTGTTCTATCAGGATTAGTCCAGTGATGGTCCCAGAAAAGATCAGTTTCTCCTTGACAGAATGAGTTGAGTGTCATTCATATAAAAGCTTGGCCTACGCCCCGCTCCAGGCTGCAGTGGTTGTGGCATATGGCTGGCTGTAACGATGCCCTTGCTGCTGGAGCACTAATAAGAGTGTGCTATCTGGGCTTGCTCTTGGTGACCTACAAATAAGACTTTTTCTGTCTGCTTTAAAGCTGGTCTCAAGCCACTACAAATGTGGCCAAATTAGACCTTATGACTACATGATAACCTCCCACCCAAAGACCTCTGTAATCTGTTTAGGGACTGGACTAGATAGAGGTGCACACACACACACAGTAAAACACAAACACACCCACCTTCCCTCCTTGGCCTGGATAAGTGACTAGCCAGCAGTGGTAGCGGCATATGTCTGTTTGTGTAATGACGTCCTAAGGCAGACTACTCTGTAATTTAGCCCCTCTGCTCCCCTCTCACAAAGCGACTAGGAAATCAACCAATTACAGTGTTGGGGCTGTTCTGTCATTTTTTGGTCCAAATATGGTGTTTTTTTTCTGGCTATTCTGATTTTAAGCAGCCATCACAGACACACACACACACACACACACACACACACACACACACACACATATATATACTCACATATATGCATCAGCACAGAAAAAGCTTTGAAGAAAGTGGGCAGGGTGGAATATAGGCTGGCTGATTTCTAATCACAGTCCTCTTTTAACTTGTCAGAGTTTGGTCTGGTTGGTGGGTCATGGTTCATGCAGCTGTGTCAGAGCAAGGCTTACACAGAGGCCTCCCTTCTCCTGGTTTAAAGTTCATGATGTGAAGAAAAAGACCACCTTAAAACTTCAAATTCAACTTATGAACTTTAGGTTTACAAAATTTATTTGGGCTTGGGAAGGAGGCCTTTCTATGATGCAGATGAATTACAGTCACATTCCAGTTTCTGTTGAACTAAGAATGGTTGGGGGCAGCAGCACTGACTGTATCATTGTCAGAAAGATCATTCTGCTGTACTACAACAGGGTCTATGGGGATTTTAGATTGGCTTGGTCAAGGCCTTGCAGAATAGATATGTTAAAGTCGTTTGTCTTGACTCCAGGACAGGGGCGTTTGCAGATTTTAAGGCCAATGGTAGCAGTCATGTCATTGTTGGAGTACTGTGCAGAGCTGAAAGCTTGTAGCAGCAATTTTTTTTTAATCTGTACAGCCACAGAAGTCTTAAGGCTTTCTGGCTGACTGTCAGAGCTGAAATTAAAACCTGATTATTCTGTCCTTGCAATTTAGTATTAATTTGCTTCTTGAGAAGTTACCTAATTTCACTGTCGATTGAGCCGGAAAATATGTAAAGTTTCACGTTGAATTCTTGCAGTGCTGCTGTTTTCTGTGGAGTGTTAAGCTATGATTCTTCCCTTTCCTCTCATTGTACTGATAGTAGTTGAATGTGTATATATAAAGTGTATAAAAGCACAGAACACACTACAGCAGATAGTCACTACTAGTAATTGTTGTAAACTACTGCACACTGTTTCAGTGCTCTGGTGCACTGATGCTAAAAGCAAGCTTCAGTTAAAACCACTGCCCACATAAACCTGTTTTGGATCAATAAGTAAATGTTGACTGCACAAGACTTTGGTGCAAGTGCAGGTAAAGTATGATCCACCAATGTTTACATGTTATAAATTAGTGGAGGCAGATATCAGTTGGAGGTTCCTCTGGTGCCCACACTGGGCTGTAAATAGAAAGGAATGTGTGTGTGCCTGCGCGTATGTTTCTTTTTCCATTTGGAGGACACACCCTTGGATCTTCTGGTCAGATCTGCAACAACACAGCACATATTAGCCAATATTACATTGGGTTTTTGAGTTATAAAGGAAATTATTGTTCCATCATTGACTGAATGCTAAGACTTGGCAGCCACTTGAATGTAGAAACAATAAACAACCTTGAGTCAAAATTATGTTTTGGCTCAAGGTTTTGTATTGTTCATCAGTTGATCAGTTATGTTCTGGTTTCCCTTTCTGTCATGCTTGCAGCTGTAACTTGCTGAAATAACTGACAACTTCAACAGTCTTGAGACAGTTGAGATAAAAAAAAAATCTAAACATTTTAGCTTTAATGTTTTTTCCTCTAACCCCAGAAGACATGCATTAAAAGAGTAATCCACCATTTCAGCATTTAATTCATTGTTGGACAGTTTCAAAAAACATCAAATTTGACACAGCAGAACCAGAGGTATTGTTGTTATTTCACCTATCCTTTTCAAAGCACAGCGCCTACATTACCCATGTTACAACTCGACCTCTTGCAGTGCAGTTGGAGATTTTGGTGTGTAATGCTCATAATCGGTAATGTAGTCTCAAGCAAAGATGATGAGTGGGCTACAGAGGCCAGGTACCCCCACTTCTTTCTAACCCCACACCCCTAGACTATTTTATTTCTCCAACTTCAGTCTTCAGCACCAATCAATTCTGCCTCAAGTGACATCAGTTGAGGCAGTTTGTCAGATTTAGGGAGCTCGCTCACATACATACATCAGTAACAGACTGATATGTAAAATCAGTTTACTTCCTGTTTAAAAATATCACCCCACTTCAAGCCCATGCATTAACAGCACTACTGCCACCGCCAGTGAACTTTAAAATACTAGGTTCCATTGGCAAGTCAAACTTGAGTCACCATTGTCTTATATTGAGCTATTGTTTTCTGCCCAGCTGTGAAAGGTATCTGTCTAGAGTTTTTATGGAAATTCAAAGTGTTACAAGGGTTTTCTGTTGGCCCATGGAAGGTAACAATTGTTTTCAAATTACGGTACTCAGGGTTAGAAGAAACAACCTTTTGTGACTGAACATGCCTTGGAAAATTTCCAGACAATTGTGTTTTTCTTTGTGTAGCATTCATGACTTATAGTCTTGTCTCTGCTGAGAAGATCAGATATCGCACACATACACGTGCACACACACACGTACCAAGGGACTTTCATCTCAATACCCGTGATCTTCATCATGAGAGGTGTGTTGTTTCTGAAGTAGGCCAGTCTGTGTTGGCCACTTAACCAGTCAGCTTTCCATCCAATGGGGCAGCCTTTTGCCAGCTAGCAAAGTAACCGGTCAGACAGGAGGCGAGACAGGCAATCAATTGGGATACCACTAAAGTGGTGTCTGTAATGACTAAAACAGAGAGTAATCTTACACCAAGCTCCCATTTCTTTTTTATGAGGGGACTGGATTTTGCCCTTTCTTCAGTCTGTTATGTATAGGCAGTGTTGTATGCTGCAGTTTGAAAATACTTGGTAAATTATACAAGATGACAGATAAGCAGGTATGGGTTGCGAACTTGTCACGGGCCCCTGTTCCATTTCAGAGCTGTACAGGGTAGATCCCACACTGATCCTTTCACTGACCTGTAAGTGTGGCAAACTAAGCTGCTCTGCTGAGCCGGACAGATTCCAGTGGTCTCTAAGTAATCACATAGACATTCCTCACACAGCAGGGTACATTTAAGTTTTAACTTGCATACATACACTTTCAATATAGACATGCAGAATGATGCTTACTTTAATTTTCAAATTATCACGGGTAATATTGGCGTCATAATCAAATGATGCAAATATCACCCCTGTAGGACACATATGCTGCATACATGTGCAAAAGATGTTTTTTTCCCACTTTCAGAGGAAAAGGAGGCCTAATACATATGTTTTCGTCATCTTATCAGTTTATGTCTTTGCTGGCCCACACCTGTATGTAATTACTGCAGATCAGCTAGTAACATTGTGTGTGTGTGTGTGTGTGTGTGTGTGTGTGTGTGTGTGTGTGTGTGTGTGTGTGCTGCGCGTGCGCATTTATGTAACATTTGACTGATTTGAAATCCAGCTTCTGCCTGAGTATTGCACTGGGATTTTTTTGCATAGTTTTTATTGCTGTAAGTTGTTTCATATCAGTAGAGTCTTTTTTTTTTTTTTTTTTTTTTTTTCTTAACCTAAACCTAAACCCCTGTCTTCGTCTTTTCTCCTAGAGCGACAGTGGTTGCTGTGGCTGCCTTCCTGGATGCCTTTCAGAAAGTGGCCGACCTAGCTACCAACTCACGAGGTAGGAATATGCACACAGATGTGACTGAGAGTGAAATGAGTGGTCTTCTCTGTTTATTCCTCATGTCTTTAAAGAATTAGGATTCTGTCTTGACAGACCCCTGTTGCCATACTGAGCTGACTGGGTAAATCAGTTAACTCGCTGTTTAACAGTGTGTGAGTCTGGGCACCTATGTGTTAGTGTGTTTGTCTGTATAGCTCTGCTGTGCAAGTCCAGTCTTTCACCCCACTGTGCTGAGAAGTTCTGTGGGTTGTTTGCTTTATCGTATAGGTAGTAAATCCGTCAGTATGCTGTTTGAAGCTCTGCTGCTGGCTTTGTCTTCGACCTCTACCCTTTTTCGTCTGCTTTCTGCCCCCCACCCCCACCTACACCCCACCTCTGCTACATCTGGACTCTGGTAGAGTCTGCTTCAACTCTGTATGTGTGTGAGAGGCAAAGAGAGAAAGTGAGAGATCTCATCTCTCCCTAGCTTTGACACCTCCAGCCCTGCTCCATACTATTAATAGGAGCTGAGACAGACACACACATTCATCACCTCACTCACTGCAGAGAGAAAGAGAGGGAGGAACAGAGCTAAAGAGAGATGGGGGAATATAGAGAGTCATCATTCTCTCTCCCCTCTCCCTCTTTCTGTGTAACACACACAGTATAAATGTTTGCCATGAAGGAGTCAGATTCAGTGAGCTGAAGAGCATTGCGTCATCTTTCATCTGCTCTTACATCATTTTCTCTCCCCATTTTCTCTACATTCTGTGTCTTAGGTGAACAGTATAACATAACGCCCTTATCATTTATGTGCCCATTTGCTCAAAGTTTCACTTTACAGCTGAGCTCTGCAGCAGAGAGGCAAACATGGATAATGAGTTATAATACACTGTTCCCTGACATGCTGCTGTCTGTATCACAGGTGGATAACCTGTCCACATGACAGTTGTACCAGGGTATTATAATGATAATGATTACCTGAATTACAGGCCATATTTTCAGTAGTGAGCCAGTTCTACAGATTTACATATTCCTAAAAACCCTATACCCTTGGTAGGTGAGGCAGACTCTAAGGGTACCACATTTTTTTTACCACTTGCCTGTAAGCCTTTATTTTGCTTATCATACTTTGTACAGGCTTATGAATGCTTTGACATCTTAATATGGTAAATAGCTTTTAATATGAATATCTTTATCCTCTTATCTGTATAATTCTTTATCTTTAAATAATGGAATTAAATAAAATGTTTATGACTAGTTTGGTGCTGATAACACCTTTGAGCTTGATCATTTTTTGCAGTAGCTCAAATATCTGGGGAAAATACCAATTTGGGCTACTGTTTTAATGGAAACTAGATCTATCTGAAGTCCCATCACACACACACACACACACACACACACACACACACACACACACACACACACGGGTACACACATGGGTACACACATGGGTACACACATGCAGACTTTGTCCACCTAATGACTGTCTTCCTGCAGATAGGGTTGTTTGAGTTTTCCATAGTGATTAAAGAGTTTTTGAATTGGGCATGCTCCAGAGAGCTCTGATAGCTGCTGTAATGACCACCATGTGTTGAGAAAAGAATAACATTGATAATGAAGTAAAGGTGTCATGTTTTTGTATTTGTTTGCTTGCTTGTTTTGAAGTTTTTTATGTACTGACCTAATTCACAGGCCTCTGAATCCATTCCGCTTTAAACACATTGAACATTTGCTAGAAGACAGCAGAGTGAGTCTGAAACAAAGTTTTTCTCATCTCCCCATAAGTTAACTTATTTTAAAGATACTAGCAATATGGTGTCTGTGGTGGCCATGGTTTCCAGTAGCTTAGAGGCATGAAAAATTGGATGGTCCCCACAGCAGCCCATAAAATCTGTTTGGGAAAGAAAACTTGATCTCTGGAGTATAATTTACTGAGGGCTCATTTGTCACCAAACCAAACTGCTCTGCTGGATTCTACTGTATCTACAAAACAGTTGTTATGTGCATGTAATGGACCTCTAGAAGTGCCCGGGGTAGGCGTCTTTGTGAAAATATCACCTTCCTCTATTGTTCACTTACAAAGCAGAAAAGCAAAGTGTATTCTCTAAAGATATCACAGCCTGTGTGTGTGTGTGTGTGTGTGTGTGTGTGTGTCTGTGTGTGTGTGTGTCTGTGTGTCTGTCTGTGTGTCTGTCTGTGTGTGTGTCTGTGTGTGTGTCTGTGTGTTTGCTACAGTAGCTTTGAAATTAAAGAGTTTTGGCATGGCTTTGTGTAGATCAGAAAAAGTACAGACTGACACACACCATTTTCTGTTTGCTCATCATAATTAGCCAGAGGCCGCTGAGGCCACATTATACACACAGTTGTTCCTACAGCCATCACTATGGTAACAGCATGGAAATCAGTTGAAGGGCCAAAGTAAAAAAGTAAACAGCCTTTCTTCTTCCTGCCACCGCAACTGTTAATGCTCTTCTCACAACAATAATAAAGGTGCACAAACATGAAGGTAACCAGGGATTTGTCAGTGCACATATTAAGGGTCATTTACTCTCTTAATCATGAGAACAAAACTTTCAGCCGCCCTTGTAAACGATTTTACCGTTGTAACCTTGCAGATATTGGCCATGATGGTAGCTCATAAAGATTCAGGGCTTTATCTATAGACTTCGAAGGCTTTGATATGTGACAGCTGTTATGTTTATCGGTGTTTAGATGAAAGTTACTTTTATCACTGCTATCAGTGAAGCAGAATGATCAAAAAGGAGTCTCTTCACAACTTGAACCTTGGACAGCAATTTTGTGTTCACGTATGCATCCTTGTAAAATATGTGTGTTAAATGATCATGCCAAATGAATGTTTTTTTTTGTTTGTTTTTTTAAAAGAGCACTCCCATTTAAGAACCAGCCAGTTTTCACTTACATAGTGTACTCTGCTTTTGTACATTTGTAATTCATACTGTCAATATAAGTTGTATCAAAGAACTGCTGTACAGTATCAGAATTTTTATGCTTTAGTTAAAGAAAATAGTTTAACAAAGAAGGTAATTTTACTCACTAATTCAAAAACTCTTCTGGTGTGCCAGAACACTGGTAGAGATTGATTCGTAAAGCGGCCCATTGCATCACCACTGGAGTTGCTTAATTGTTGTCATAATTTCAGTGTGTGAAAGGTGGTTTCAAGCTCTTCAAAGAAAATCTTCCCTCTGAAATGACTCAATGATTTTTGATGAAGTTCAGGGAATTAAGAGAAAAAAAACACCTTGTGCACAGAAGCTGACCTTTTGCCAAGATGTCTTTGATTGCTCTGACTATGGCCTATTCACAACTTCTTTCATATAAAGATAGATTAGTCCCACTGTTATCAAATTAGAATGTAACTCAAACAATGTCATTATCAGTGTTGACAGACTGTTAGAGTAGCTCTCTCAGGCCTGCTCAGCAGCTGTATAAGTTATAGTCAAACATTGTTTTGTCCTTATTACATCCTTGATATTAGTCATATTGAAGTGTATGTGATATTTTAATTGAAGTGAAATGAACAACCTAACAAATTAATGCAAGTGGTTTTCCATTAAAACATGTCTGTTGATTTATAATGAAAGAGCTGCGTCAGCATTGTAGTTATAATTGTGTCATGCAGAACACATTGGGGTTGTGAAACAACCTTCTAGTGTAAATATCAGTAAATACTCTTTGCATGAGCTAATCCTTGTGGTGTAGTAAATGCCTTCAACTGAGTTTTGGAAAAGCTCCATTGAAAGACTGTAGCTTCATGTAATGATCAGCTGTTGCATGCTATTTCTGTTTGTGCATTCGTTTAGTGATATATTTTAATTGATTTATGAGAACCAGATGTCTTCAACAAAGGAGAAAAATCCTGCAAACCTGGGACACTCATCTACTCTTTTCATTACAGACACTAGGTTGAAGACATACAGTTAAGGCTAGAGAATAAATGAGGATTAAGATGCAATAATTAATGTTAAAATCACTATGAGAGATATGCATGTGCTTCTTTTTATGTGAAATTCCAACTTATTAGTTTACAGTTGAGTGAAATAAAATAACTGGAATGCCAAGTGGAGAATGTTTGAATAAAAGAAAGAAAGACAGACTTAAGCTTCCTGACAAAGCCTTTCTTTTCCTCTGTTGTGCTCTATTATTGTGGCTGATGTGTATTGAAGCTGACAGTGAGCATTTGCAGATCTGCTTTCTTTAGTAGAACAAACAAACGTATTTGTACATATGTATGTGCAAACACATTTCTATTTTATTCAAGATCCCCCTTTCCTGATCATCTTAGTCTATCCCTGTGTACATGTTTTTCATCCAGTTGTTTGTTTTCTGTACTCTGCATTTGTCCTTGCAGCTCTGTTTATTTTAGCAGTAGGTGCTGAGCATGGACAGCTTAGCTTTGGCTACTCCATGTGTTTTCAAAAGAGATTAGACTTTTTTTTCTAAAACATTGGTTGGCTGGCTTTGTCTGTCAGCAGTGAGATTCTCCAGAAATGACCTGAGCACAGTTTTACACTGGTTAATAATTCAAGAAAGTTTAACAATATACATGCAAATGTTTGTCCCACTCACGTGGGACAAATCAGACTCACCTTAAACTCAGTGCAAGACATTCTTGAGAGACTAAAAAGCTAGACCATGTTAGAAAGAGACGTTTTCTTTGTTATGCATAGTGTTGTGTGTCAGTGTGTCATATCAACAACAAAGGTTTTTTTTTTCTCCTAAACATTTTTTGTTTATCCATTACAAGAGCTTGTTGATTTTTAAGACTTTTAAGATTACCTGCAGCAATTCTGATGACAGAAGATTAGGTCACACAAGTGTGTTTAAATTATATTTGTTTGCTGTCTTCACACTAATCCAGTGACTCATTAACAGAGGAACTGAATTAAAAGCATATTTTTGTCTGTCTCTCACTTATTTCTTTTAAGTCTGTCACAGTTTGTACTCTTTTGTGCTTCTTTTTTCTCCTGTCCCCTTTGCCACTTTTTTCTTTCTTT